TCAGCATTGATTGCTCCACCAGCATCAACAATTGCTTGAACAACATCAAGAACACCACTATGTGCTGCATGATGAAGTGGTGTCCATTTAAAATTATCTGATCTATTAACTTCAGCTCTAAAAAATTAAAACTAAAGAAAACTATGTTATATTTGTTGAAACTTACCCGCATGTAAGAAGAAATTGAACAGTTTTAATATCACCATGTGAACATGCTAGATTAAATCAAAAAAAAATTAGTAAAGCAAAAGGAAAATTGTTAAACCAAAAGTAACTTACCAACCATCAATGGTGTTTTCATAAATTTATCTGTAATATCCACTGGTACACCTCGTTTGAATGCATTTAACATTGTGTTTAAATCACCTCGATAAGCTATTAAAAAAGAAAAATAATGTCATCATCTAATTTTTCTTTAATTTATTTTTTTACCAGCATCACATATATTAATATAACCTTTATCAGGTTTATCTAAATACCAGGGCGAATCATCTTCTAAGGGATTTTTCGGTAGATTATCTCTAGAAAATCTTGTATGATCTGTAAGATGCACATGTTGTGGTGCATAGATGATGGGTGGATTACCATTTGCTGTTCTTGGTCCATCTTCTCTAATCAAAACTAGAAGAGCAAAAATTGTATTTTTAAAAAATTTTTCATATCGAATAAGAACTTACTTGGTAAAGCACCTTTTGATTTTTTTGCTTTTTTTGGTTTCTTCTTTTTCTTCTTTTTACCAGCAAATGCAGCCATTAAGTAAGGTTTTGTTAAATATTTCTTTCCAGTAAACAATGATTTATAATCAAATTCATTTCGTTCTTTTTCATGTTTATCACCGATATCTTTCAAATCTTCTGGTTTAATATAGGCGAGAAGACCTTCATCTTCCATAATTTTTTTAAAACTTTCTGTTGGTATAACACCTGTTTTAGGTTCAGCAATATCAAGTTCTTCGAACATTTTTTCAAGTCGTTCTTGATTTTCATATACATAATCATAGAATATCAACCTCCAATCACGAAATTCATCTAAATATTTGTACATAATTAATATGAAAACATTGTTTTAGTTAAATTTACCTGGACGTAGATTTAGAGTCATTTCATTATAACCTTTTTCAGATTTTCGTATGTTCTTTTTTGCATCTTTTGCTTTACATTGTTCAGCTATTTTCTTTGGTAGAAGTCCTTCAAGATTTTTTACTTTTGGATTACAACCTGCGAAAATATTTTTTTCGTTATATCAATAGAAATTATTTAATTTGTTTTTTTGAAATACCTCGTTGACCCAAAAATCGAAGTACATTGCCAGCATTTGATGTTGCAGCATAATGAATTGGATTATTACCAAGTACATCATAAACATCAAATTTCGCAAGAAAACCTGCTAATACTTGAACAACCTATAGAGAAATATAAATATATATAGAAAATGAACATTCATGAAATAGATAGATACTTCAAAATGGCCACCTTTAGCGGCTTCATGAATAGGTGCTGAGTTTTGTTCATCTAAAGCATTTGGATCAGCTTTAGCACGTAATAATTCTCGTACAACATTTGCACTTCCAGATAAACATGCATTATGTAGAGCGGTACGTTTTGTTGTCTATAAAAAGTAATAGAATTTTTTTATTTAACGATAGAGATGTAATTGAATCATTTCTACTTCTTCAATTAGTCGAACATCAGCTCCTGCTTTAATTAGATCAATACAAAAATCTTCATGTTCTTTAGAATTTGCACAAGCATGTACTAAATTTGGGACACCATTACGTGCTCGATTATTAACATCAGCACCCATTTCAAGTAAAACTTTTAAACATGCTTTATGTCGTTGTGTTGCTTCAGTAAAACAATGATGAACTGCATCTGAAAAAGAAACAAGACAACAACAATTATGTCTATAAAATATATTTTCATTATTCTAACCTTTTCCTTCAAGATCTTGAATTTTTGGATTAGCTTTTGCGTCACGTAATAAATGTAAGGCATTAATATGGCCATATTCAGCAGCATGCATAAGTGCTGTACGACCAGCAAAATCAATAACATCTGGATGAGCACCAAGCTGTAAAAGATATTGTATCATTTTTTCTTTATTTTGTGTGACAGCGGATCTAAATATAATTTATTTCAAAAAAACTAATATTTTTCAAAAATATTTTTATTTACATAAGAGCGGTCATGCCAGTTTGAGGATCATTATAATTCACAAGATGTTCTACACCTTTATCACATAATTTTTTAATCTGATCAACATCTTCTGTTCGTACAGCATAGATTAATTTCTGTACTTGTAATTGTTCAACACGATCTCGAGCAATAGGCATTATGGTTAATTTACATAATAATTAAAAAAAAGGTATGTAAGGCACCAAACTAATAGCAAAATAAATAAGGTCTAAAATAATATATAAAATATATTTTTCTCTTTTCAAAATAAACAAAACTAATCAGTTAAATTTTGTTTCCTTGCTTACTCGGTCGAGCATAACCCTCGCCGATAGTAATTCTATATATCAAGAATAGAATTAAACGACGCCTACAACTATATTATTTCCGAAAATAGTAGAAAAATGACTTATAATATCAACACAATCGAGCGGCTAATTCTACTAAGTATAAATACATGATTAAATAAATCCTCTAATAAAAGATTTCTGTCGTTTATGAAATACGAAAAAGAAATTATTCAGAAGTTTAACAAGTACAGTTATAAAATGTTGAAGATTCCGTACAATATATTTATTTGCATTAATAAAACCTATTTAACAGCAAAATACAAAAAGAGCTCACCTACGAAATAAAATAAAATAGTGTTACATCTGCTACGGAATTAGAAAGAAAAGTCCAGATACATTTGCGTTGTTTCTTTTTGTAATTATTAATTTAAGTGGAAAAATGACAACTGAAAGACATGATTTAAAAAGCAAACATTAAAAGTTTTTTTCTAGTTCGTACCATATGTATGTTTGATGTCATAGAAATACTCTATTGTGGATATAATAAATGACTAATGCATTGTCGCTACTTATTTATTCAATGAAATATATATGGAGGAGAAAAATATCGAATCATGTTTTATATTGGAAAGAATGGAATTTGGTGAATTTTCTAGAAAAATCTCGGTTATTCTAAAATATATAAATAAAAGTTTTTCTGTTCTAGACTTCTTTTTTCTATCAATATTAGTCATCATATGGCTTCACAAGTAAAATTGTTCTTAAATTTAAGATTATTTTACCTAGTATGAATTTATTTAGGTCGAAGAACTTAAAAGTAAAGCAAATGCTGCTTTTTCAGCTGGAAAAAATGATGAAGCAATTAATTTATACACTCAAGCTATAGCACTTGATGAAAAAAATCATGTTCTCTATAGTAATCGATCAGCTGCATATGCCAAAGGAACAAAATATGAAGAAGCATTAAAAGATGCAGAAAAATGTATTTCACTTAAACCTGATTTTGTCAAGGTACGGATTTACACATATAGAATAATTTATCCAAATAAAATTCTTTATAATTAGGGTTATTCTCGGAAAGGTGCAGCATTATCATTTCTTAAACGATATGATGAAGCAATTAATGTTTATGAAGAAGGTCTTAAAATTGATCCAAATAATCAACAATTAACAACTGATCTTGAAACAGCACGAAAAGATTCATCAGGACCAGCAGGTGGTGGACTAAATTTCTTTTCTGATCCACAATTTTTAACTCAACTTATGACAAATCCAAAAGCACGAGAACTTTTAAAAGACCCTGAAACAGCTATGTTGATGAAAATGATGCAACAAAATCCAAATAATGCACAGTAAATCATTTTCTATTGTTAATATTTAATAAAAATTTGATTTATTTATGTAGACTTTTGAGTAATCCAAAAATAATGAAACTTCTTGGATGTGTACTTGGCTTTGAACTTGGAGATGCAAATGATCTTTTGTCACAAATGGATACAGATAATAAAACAAGTTCACCAAAAAAAGACACAAATACTTCAACAACATCAAAACCCACAACGACAACAACAACAACGAATACAAACACTACAAATAATAAAACAACAGAACAGAATAAAAATTTAACTGCTGAACAAAATCAAGTAAGAAATATTTGTTTGTATTCATTATGTTTTTTTAATTTAATTTTTACAGGCCGAAGCAGAAAAAGAAAAAGGCAATGAAGCATATAAGAAAAAAGATTTCGAAACAGCATTAAATCATTATAATAAAGCAAACGAACTCGATCCAGTTAATATGACTTATTATACCAATCGTGCTGGTTAGTTTACACTCACATATATTTCTTAATTCTATAAAAACAAATTTATCTATAGCTGTTTATTTCGAACAAAAACGATGGGAAGATTGTTTGAAAGAATGTGAAAAAGCTATTGAAGTTGGACGTGAAAATAAAGCAGATTATAAAATAATTGCAAAGTAAGATATGTATGATTTATTAAAATTCAATTATGAATAAAATAAGATTGACCTACAATCTTTGGGACATATCTGTTTACCCTTTGTAGTTCCAATCACTATGCGAGAGTTATTATGAATTAGACAATCAATGATCGTGTTTGATTCACTAGATACTTGTAGAGATCTTTCTTACAATGAAAATCTATCCTTTAAAGAACTCATGGTTGATCATAGTTCATGACTTGTTTTGTTTTTGTAGAGCATACGCTCGTATGGCTAATGTTAAAAGTCAAGAAAAAGATTATGCAGCTGCTATAAAATATTACAATAGTTCTCTCTCAGAACATCGTAATCCTGATATATTAAAGAAAAAACAAGAAGTCGAAAAAATACTTAAAGAACAAGAACTATTAGCTTATGTCAATCCTGCATTAGCTGAAGAAGAAAAAACAAAGGGTAATGAATATTTTCAAAAAGCTGATTATCCAAATGCACTTAAACATTATACGTATGTATTTCTCGAAATAATTTTTTTTTTGAATTTAAAAATTATTAAATATATAGCGAAGCTATCAAACGAAATCCAACAGATGCAAAACTTTATTCAAATCGAGCAGCTTGTTATACAAAATTAATGGAATTTAAATTAGCATTGAAAGATAGTGAAGAAGGCATTAAACTTGATCCAAATTTTCGTAAGTTAAAATTCGAATTAATAATTATAAATTTCATATATAATATTTCTAGTTAAATGTTACCTTCGCAAAGGTCATGCTTTAATGGCTATGAAAGATTTAGGTCAAGCTATGGCTGCGTTTGGTAAAGCTCTTGAAATTGATTCAAATTGTCAAGTAAATAATTGATTTATATATTTTGAATTTTTGATTTTTTTTTCATTTAGGAAGCTATTGATGGTTATCGACAATGTACAATGAAATCAAGTGATGATCCTGAAGAAGTTCGTAAACGAGCTGCTAATGATCCTGAAATTCAACAAATTCTTAGCGATCCTGGTATGCGTTTAATACTTGAACAGATGCAAAATGAACCACAAGCTTTACGTGATCATTTAAAAAATCCTGCAATTGCACAAAAAATTCAAAAATTAATTGACGCTGGTATTATTGGTATTCGTCAAGGTTAATTCCTATATATTTGTTTCAATGACGTTTGATCTCGTCTTTTGTTTGCGTTCTTGTGTAACCAAGGCATGATTGAAGTTCGATTTCTTTTTCTTTTGTTACAGTTTTCTTATTTCGTGCTCTCTCTTTTTTCTTCTTCTTCGATGTTCCTGTTACACCCGTGACCACTGCGTTTTAGCAAACCAAACTAATCTTGTTAGCAAAAAAAGAAACCGAATTCAGCGTCTATTATCTAAAACAAATATACGTTATTTTTCAAGTTAATAAAAAAAGAACACTTTCAATAAAAATTAAGTTTCCTGATCAATAAGAAAAAGAAATTCAAGATTCATCTGAATTATAGATTAATGGGTTTTTTCTAACTTGTAATTCTTTTCGATCGATAGCTGCAGAATCAATATTTTAATATATCCATGGAAATAATGATATCATACATTAGTATGAGAGCTGTTATAACGATATAAACAAATGAATGATTAATGATTTATTTTTTCATCATTAAAGAACTTATTATTTCTCGATGACAAACATTGTAGTTTAATTTATCTTCATACCACTTTCATAACTGAGACGAGTGTATGGTTTACATAATCAAATATCAATTTCAACAATGGGCGTAGACACATGAATGATGCGTTTGTATTCAAACAAGGCGTTGACAATAAGCGTGAATGAGAATTGTCATTAGAAATTCTGGACTATGTATTATGTAAATATAACTGAAAAACTAGTAGCCTTTTCCGAAATTTCTGCCCTTCCTTGATAATTGTTTCGCAAACAATTTTGTGTCTGATATATCTGAGAAGTATGTCAATTAAAGAGGCAATCTAAAGGACAACTATAAAGAATTGCATTCAATATTAGTACAAATTCAAAAGAATTTATAGAACTATGTATTGTCGACATTGACATCAATGGTACCATAGACAGTAATGTTAAAATCACGAATTAAAATATTCTAATTAAAAGAAAAATACCTTTTACACGTGCGCAACAGTTTTGTGCAGTATTTCTTAATCGAAACATGTATGTCTATCTGTACTTTTTTAATTGTTAATACCGATATAACATAAAACTGAATGAGTTTACAACTATTGACATGTAAAAAGACTGACAGAGCATCTCAGAAATTTGTATGCCTGTTCTATCAATATATGATAAACTGAAATTATTTCTAATTCAATTTGTAAGATAAATCAGAAAATGATCAACTAGAATTTCAAGAATATATTGAAAAGAATTATTTCTCATATTCAGATCTAATATGCAATTCTATGGATTAAAATCTAAAGTTTTATTGACGTAACACATATTTGTTTCAGTAATAGTTTTTTCTGTATGGATCCCGACAAATCAATTTGTCACATTTATTCTTACCATTGGAATCGCTTTTGTAGCTGACCTCCTAGCGGCAAGTACAAATCATATTGATCAAATTTTAAGAACAAAGGAAATATATTAGAATTGTAATGTATGGACATGGATTGTTATCGTTCTTTTTTTTCGTTTCTACAGGTGGTGTTAGTATATATTTCCACATATACGTTTTCTTGTATTCACTAGGATTATTCCCCTTTGAAAAAATCCCTGTTATTGTTGAGGAATATTCCTTCCCCTATGCACATGTCATGATATATATAGACGTGTGTGGAGTAGTATATTTTACAATAAAATATCATTCGACACTCACATTTCAATACGTGACAAGAATCATCTATGTACATTGGTGGTATATGTAGGAATCGTTCGAATATCAATAGAGGTATAGTTACGTGTTTTTACCTTTCCATATTATCCTTGCAATATTCTAAAAACAGCAAGACTACAGTTGTTATGTTGCGTACATCTAGTATATAGCTTATAAGAGTTTCAATTTTACAGATCTAATAGACAATATTGTTTCTACCGAGATAAATAATTCTTCAAATACTAAATACCAATCTGTAATTCTTTTTTTATCTTTTAAAATATAAAGTTTTAAAGAAATATTTGTTTTTCTATCACACGGATCAATGTTTCTTTTTATGGGCACTCTCATATTTTATTTTAATTCTAATATCTACATCAATAGTAGAAATCATCATAGAGTGAGAGAGAGATGCTTATACACATAAAGATAATAATTGCACTAAAAAGACAAAAGAAGGTGTGAAAACAAAACAAAGCTGTTAACAAATAGTCAAACACTAATATATAACTAAAGTTATACCAGAAGAAAAGGAAACAGACCACCATTAGGAGTAAATAGATAGGTTACATAAACAATGTTATTGAAAATCTCCTTTCTTTTTCACATCAAAACCAACTAAAGTGGAGCAGAAAAAAAATCACACATACACACACACACAACAAAAATGAGAACTATAAATTTTCTCTTGAGAGAATAGGATAATGATGGTTTTATAATCTATATTTCTTCCAAATTTAAGCTGAATTAGCTGCACTTCCCGCTGGTGCAGAAGCTGCTTTCTTCAATGCTGCAGCTGAACCTGCTTTGCCACTAGCTGCTGTACTCTTAGTTGTAAGAGCTGCTGGTGCTCGTGGTGCTGCAGCTGTATTTGAACGAGATGAATCAGGCTATAAATCGCATATATATATATATTAATTAAATAAGTTTATCTATTAGATTCAATATACTTTAGAGACAGGTGGACTTGCAACATCACTAGCTCCTTTAGTTTTAAATAAAAATTGATTGATATGTGGTAAGACACCACCTAAATATATTCAAAATAAAACAAACATATCAATCTTTATCTATTAGATTTTGATTTTATCTTACCTTGTGGAATTGTTACAGCATTAAGAAGCTAAATAAATTTAATTCTATTCAGATAAAGAATTTTAGAAGAAAAAACAAACCTTTTTGAGTTCTTCATCAATGCTAACAGCCAAAAAGATATGTCGTGCATTGATACGTTGTTTTTTATGATCTTTTGCTGCATTACCTGATAATTCAAGAACTTCAGCTGTTAAATATTCAATCTAAATTCAAGGACATGTATGAATAATTCATAAAAGTAAAATAAATATTACAAACCACAGCAGCTGTATAAACTGCAGCAGCCATAGTTACACGACTTTTTGGTGTACTCTTTTTAATATAACGATGAAAACGAGGTACCGAAAAAAGAACACCTGTAAATCTTCTATTAAAAACAATGATTTTATATTAAGAGAAGAAATTAACCTGCGCGAGCTGATTTTGATTTTCGTTCGCCACCTTTACGAGCACCTCTAGCTGATGTTGTTGATGGAGCCATATTTTATATTTTTATTTTAGTAATAATCTAGAAAACGAATATAGAACAACAAAAACATCTTTGAACAATATTTGATATTATTTGTCATCTTGTGTCCTCTCTGCATATATCAAGTAGACATAACCGTCAGATGCGAGCCTTTAAAATGAGGGTGTTCATTTATATTTGCTTGCTTTCTGTATTTACTGTAGACATATATATATATATGTATGTATCAAGTCCAGGATCAGAACACAAAAGAGAAAAGAAAAGAAGAAAAAAAAGAACGAAATAATAGTCGAGATATTTAAATAGCCAAGGAAAGAAGAAGAGGGGAGAAATGAGTAAATTGAATGTCCGACCTTCTTAAATATTTTTAATAAACTGAACTTATGCCTCCATAGTGAAATACGGTTTCTATTCACCATATTAGTTTTAGCGCCACTAGCGCTGCTAATTCCGACGTTAATAAGATATTTCCACATGAGTTTTATATCTATTCTCAATAATAATGTTTGTAAAAAAACTATAAAACCTTTTTAAACTTCAAAATAAAATCTCATGTTGATATGTTCAACCAATAATCATCCACAACAGTGAGTTCATGCGGGAATCAAAATATCAGCTTGTACCATGTACTACCGTGAAGTTCATACGAAACAAATTTTACCATGATATCAATTTTAAACGAAGATGAACGCAGTTCTTGTAGATCGATCTTTACTTAGAATTCTTACTGTATAATGTATGGATCTTTATTGAAGAACTCACTCAGTTTTTATTTCAATACTATATTGATAATGCTTCATAATAGAATATAAAAGAACATTACGAAGAAAAAATTTATTATTAGAAAGATTGAATTGGTATAGTTATTTTTCAATGACTTTATTTATATTTTACATAATGACCACAAATAAACGACATCTGTGTTTGAGGGTGTGAGTAACATTATTTACTTTTTTGAATCATCATGTGTAACACTCACTCTTCCTCTTAAACATTACTTTTTCTCACAACGAAAATATTTTTCTCTCTATTTATTCTGGTTTTTTATTTATATTAACTAATCTTTCTCTACATAGCTGAGAATATGTTCTCAGTAAATTATGAAATACTTAGTAAATTTTATACTACTACTATGATATCTTCCGACTAGAAATAAATGAAATGAGTCATACTCACTTGATTTTTCCCTTTATACTGTTCGAAGTCATAAATATAAGTGTTATGATAGTCATGTTTGTTTTTTCTTTCGTCCTTCGCACGAAGAGTAAGAAAATCGGAATTTGTGTTAGTCACTGTAATTACAACATTATGGTGTAACGTTATATTTATAATATGAAAAGTAGACGAAAAGAACGAGTGCGTGCTTGTAACTTAAGGAAGTAGCAGTATCAAGAATACTTTTTTTTTGTAAAAACGATATTATTTTTCATTTTTATTCAGATGACATCAATTCAACAAAAAGGTATATCTTCTGAACGTATTAGTCAATCAACATCCGTCAATGTTGATGATCTTGAATGTTCTATTTGTCGTGACCTACTTTGGAAACCTGTTGCTTGTCGAAAATGTGAAACACCGTTTTGTTCAACATGTATGAATCGATGGCTTGCTAATAGAACAATAACATGTCCGACTTGTTGTGATACATATATTGAACGCAAGTGTCCTCCATTTGTTACTAAAGTACTCTCACATTTACAGATTATTTGTTTTTATCAAGCTAATGGTTGTCAAGAAGTAACTAGAAAAAAATTCAATGATAATCATTATTTGTTTTTTGTATATAGATATTACCGTATGAAGCATTAGATAAACATGAGATTGAATGCGGTTATCAATTTGCAAAGTGTCCTGGTTGTCAATTGGAAATGTTAAAGAAAGATTTTCTTAATCATAAGAAATCTTGTGAATTAGTTCCAATGACTTGTAAAGATTGCAAACTTATGTACAAAAGAAATGAAGCTACTACGAAACATACGGAAAAAATATGTTTACGAAAACAATTAAAACGATTAAAGCATGAATATAAAGAGAGTAAGGGTGCAATTCAGAAATTAAATATAGAATTAAGAGAAATACGTCATTTATGTAAGTTTTTGCTTTAAATTAGTATTGAAAAATAATAATTATCATTTTAGATTCTTCTATCAAACCAACTGTAATCACATTTGAAGATTTACCAAGTGCTGCTAAAAATTTATTGCACATGCCAAATGTTTATAAAGGATTTCGATGGACTAAAATCTCGTATATGCATGAATTATTAGCAATTAAAAAATATTCAAAGAGTGGATATGTATCATCTTTCTTGCCTGGTGATAGTTTACATGTCGGTTTCTTCGGTGAAACTGCTACAATCAGTATTGAACCTCCAAATGAAACATTTTCTCTTATTTCAATTATGGCATGTGCTGCTTGGAACGATGACCTAGAGTTAACTATTACAGCATATCGAAAATCAATTGAAGTTAATCAACATAGTGTAATTCTTCTTTTTGGTAGACCTCAACGTATTATGCTTCAATGGAAAAATATAGACAAAGTTGTTTTCAAACCATCTGGTGGCACTGCACATCCAGGATGTGATGAAGGACCAGGAGCTCATGTTTCACTAACTCAATTGACAATTGATGATCTTTCCTTGTCGAGTTCGAACTTCCTCACCTTTGACTAAAGTCGATCTGCTATAATATTCTATTTGTCATAAAACAATAACTGTACTTTCAAATCTAGATTTCGTATAAATGATAATGAGATTTCATGATTTATGCAATCAAAACCTATTTCAAATATACACTACTCATGTTTGATATATATTTAAAGTTGATTTTATCTATTAACAAAAATTGTATTGAATTAAGATTTTACGAAACGAAAAAAAAAAGTATTTCTGATAATAAGAATTATTCATAGTAGTCAAATATTACAGATGCTGATAGACAAAATTCAATTGAACGCAATACTAATATCAGAGCTTTAAGTGAACTATTTTAAGATAATCGGAATCATGTGTTGTTTTTATTTATTATTTATACATCATTGGAAAAATTACATCGTCGTCTGTCTTATCTTTCGTTCCTTTATAATACACAAACCCTATCTGTTTTATGTAACGCTTGAATAATTCTTTTCGATATGTTTATTTCTCCTTCATTCATTTCGATAGACTTTGTTTTGTAATTTTGCTTATATCATCTGGTAAGTACTTTTTTTATGCCTTCAATTAGTCTTTATATTACTGATGATTTCTTTACTCGTAATAAAAGTGCATATCAGTCAGTAGCATAGAGTATTCATGAAATTAGGTGTTAAAAGTGCATTTTAATGACAAAGAAGAGTGTAAATTATATTATTACCCTTACAATAGATGAGGTACAAAAATATTTTTTTCAATCTTCGTTCTAAAGATTATCTTCTGAATTTTGTTTTCATACTCAATAAACTACAAATATTCGAACTATCATCACCATTCGTCTGTATAATAGCATAACTGTAAACTACATGTTTAAGGTCGAAAAACAATTGTTTAATAGTGATCAAGGTTAATAAAATATTATTGTCAATTATCGTATCTACAAAACATTAACATAAGCTTTTGAATAGTAAATTTAATCCTTATTAAAAAGGAAAAGTAGATTTATAAAGAATAAATCCTATTAAATTTATTATTAATTCTTTCAGATGACATCTACACAACAAAAAGGTCTATCTCGCGACCGTGTTTCTAATTCATCGGACTTCAATTTTACTGATCTTGAATGTGCTCTTTGTCATGAAGTACTATGGAAACCAGTTGCTTGTCAATTATGTGAAACACCATTTTGTCATCCATGTATTCATCAACAACTCAAAACTGATTTGAAATGTCCAAATGGTTGTAACTTTTATATTGAACGAAAATGTCCTCCATTTATTTCTAAAGTACTCTCTCGATTACAAATTTCGTGTTTCTATAAACCAAATGGATGTCAACAAGTAATTACAAAAATTTCTAATACTATAAATTCATTTTATTTCAATAGGTTTTGAATTATGATGCATTAGAAAAACATGAATTTGAATGCCAATATCAACTTGTACCATGTTCTGGTTGTGAATTAAATATAATGAAAACAGATTTAACTGCTCATCAACTTACTTGTAAAGCAATTAAAGTAATTTGTAAAGATTGTAGACTCGTATATAAACGAGGAGAGTTTAGTAAAAAACATCCACAAAATATTTGTTTAAGAGAACAAATACGACAACTTAGAGAGGAATCGGTAGAAAATAAATCTACAATACAAATGTTAACAAATCAAATACATGATTTACTATCATGGAAAAGTAAATAATTATTATTAATTGTAAATATTAAATATATATTTTAGATCGTATAAGTCAAGAAAACATAATTACATTTGATGATTTACCTAGTATGACTGAAGAAACAATATGGATTCCACCTATATATAAAGGATTAAAATGGAGTAAAATGGTATACATGACTCGAGAGTATGCCGCGGCAACTTATCCAACAAGTGGATATATGGCTGCATTGATTTCTGGAAGTAATCATCACATTGCGTTTTTTAATGAAGAAGCATCAATTAGTAGAGATGGACCGAATAAAATATTTTCTCTTATTTCTCTTACAGCATGTGCTGCTTGGAACGATAATTTACATTTAACTATTATAGGATATAAAGATTCAGTAAAAGTTAAGACTTATACATCAAAACTTACTTTTGGAAAACCACAAATAGTTCTACTTCAATGGCAAAATATTGATAAAATCGTCTTTCAACCGACTGGTGATACTGCAACACATTTAGAAAATCATGAACTAGGCGATACACACTGTATTATAACTCAATTAGTTATAGATGAATTAGTATGAAAAGAAATTTTTTTCATATTTATTAACATTTTCTATATAATTATTTTGTCTTTCATTTATTTATATTCTATACTAGCCATAACTTATTTGTTTATTGCTATTACGAATAAAATTTAGTATTATTATTTTTCTTTTATAGTATATAAATATATCACAGATCATATTACTAATTTAATCTATCCTTGACCTACTTCATTCATTTTATATCACTAATTAAAATATGATCATTTCTGCCAAAATTATTTTGTAATAGTAATATCGTAAGTGCACAAACTCCTAAAGAAAATTAGAGTTTATTACATTTTCTCATGACCTATTCGTTTACTCTGATCAACAGCTATGGAATTATCACGTTCAATTTATTTTAGAAACTTTATTGGTACACTTGAATAGAGGACTACATATTGATTAGTATACTGGATATTTAAACTCAAATTAGATGATGAAAAATAGTTTTGTTATATCTTGATAAAGATATATTAAAATAAAAATATGCACCTATCATATTATCTTTACCGATATGCCGAAAGTAGGGAAAGACATTACATCCCATACGTCCTGCCCTCGGTATACGCTTGATTATTTCATTATATAGGTACTGCGAAATTCTTTTCTACGTCACTTCTATAATTTTATAAATATAATTTATAAAATTTCTCATTTTATAATTATAATAGAATTAGCTCTAAGGAAATTGTTTTTTATATAAAAAGCAAGATACTAAGCCATAAATTCTATCTCACATTATAAACTTATCATGTCACCTTCAGTACAATATTTCCAAAGTGTTTTACAGAATGTCACGATTTATATTGGTTTATTTGCAGTGATAGGAGGTTTCTTTGGCAATATATTAAATATAATTATTTTCTCATCATTAAAAACATTTCGAGAAACATCATGCGCACTTTATTTAACCGTGGCATCAACGGTTAATATATGTCATATTCTAGCAGCTCTGTTATCTCGTGTTCTTATTGCTGGTTTTACAATAGATTTAACAGCAACATCGACCATCCTCTGTAAACTACGGCAATGTGTTGGCGGTATTGGTCCACTTATCTCTTTAACATGTATGTGTGCAGCAACCATTGATCAATTTCTGTCTATGACTATTCGTTGGCGTCATCTTAGTCATCGATATACAGCTTGGCGTTTGGTTATATTTGCTTTAATTTTTTGGTGTTTATATGGCATTCTTTTTCTTATCTATTATGATAGTGTTTTATCGCCAATTACTGGAAATCGAACATGTACAATCACAAATGCAATTTTTGGTCATTATTTTAATCAATTTCATATACCATTTTTACTTGGATTTATTCCATTAACTATTCGAATTATTTTTGGTCTTCTGGCTTTTATTAGTGTACGGAAAATATCTCATCGTCAAACCCCGATTGTTCGTCTGGAACGTGATAAACAATTAACATCCATGGTTAGTAATATTTAATTAATTTTTCTTTTTGTGATAATGATTCGTTTAGGTTTTGATTCAAACTTTAGTTGATATTGTTTTATCTTTTCCATTTTTTATCTATTATACATATTCTACTTATACACCGAGTTTAAATCCAGCCGTTTCAGTTTATAGTTCAATGCTTATAGGCGTAACAAATACTATTTATTATACAACTTTTTCAGTAAGTAGATATAATTGTTTAATTGCCTTGAAAAATTGTTTTCTTTTTTATCTTAGTTTGGATTTTATATTTATTGTTGTTCATCATCACGATTTCGGAAACAACTCATATATGTACTTGTTGATGTTCATTTGAAGTATTGGTGTGGTATTAATCGTCAAAAAAATAATAATCGTGTAGACGTACAACAGGACGAAAATCAAATGACTTCATATAAAGAATGCAATCAGATTTAATATTAATACCATAAAACTGTATGTTTCGATTATTATTCTCGATGTAAAACATTCAGATGATATAAATGATTTTATTTTCGTGTTGTATTTTGTAATTATATACTCACGCTTGTGTAATAACCGCATTAAAATTATTCTATCTCAAATAATATTGTCATAGAAATCACAAAGTACGAAAAAGTGTGTAGACACTCATAAATTAAAAAGAAAAGTTCTTGTTACAAAAAAAATGAACTTTGTTGTTATCTTGGAGGTGTTTCATCAACAGATCTACATAAAAACCGGAGGAAACAAATTTCCGGTCTGATAAACCATTTTTTTATCGTTTATAAAATTTTTATTCAACTATATTTTCATTTGCATGGATAAAGAAAATTAAATTGTTTTATAAACGGCTTGAATTTTTAATAAAGTTCTATTATGTGTAATAATAATTTATATACTACGGTTGAAAAAAAACTCTTCGTAGTTTCCTTATTAATAACTATTGCGATTTATTTTGTTAGGAAATAGAGCAAGATTAAATCTAGTTTATTATTCGAATTTTTCTTTTCTATGAATTATCGTTAATTACGCAATTTATTCTAATACATACTCCTTCAAAAATATCTATAAAATGTCATTAATAAGAATGAAAAACTTTATTTTTGTTTTTGTAAATCTATTATCAATAGAAAGGCTTACTAATATTCATACATGAGTAAATATAAGATAAACTTGTCGTAAAGATGTTTTGTTATGAAACAATATTTATTCATCATATTTTCTCTTATCTTTATAGCTTTGTCTTACTCTTTCGAAAAACAGTTTTATAATCTTTTAACCGATGTGTTTTCATGAAAAAAATTTAAATCTAGGCATGTCAAAAATATAATTCGTGGTTACCAGTTTCTAGAATCATGAGCAATAAATAGCATCTATTTGGAATTTGTTCATTCTCTTTTGATAGAGAAACAGCAATAACCAGAATTGAAAAAAACTTTAATTAAGAATTTTCTGTTAGCTATATTCATGTTAATATTGATTTATTAAAGTTCATTCGATTAAACAATTGCGATTTTGATGCTACACACAATATAAATAAAGAGATGATTTTATCAGGTGACAATTAATTTCGAGACAGGGTAAACTGTAAAGATAACTGATAAGCAACAATATTTTTTTCGAAAATACGTTAACATACATATAAACAAAGGCCTCGTAGTCTTTTTTTATCACTAGACGACCCATTTTAACATCATGCATCGTACTGATGCGAACTATAATAATTATCATCTTATGGTGCCTATTTAAAGCTGTGACATTAATATTTTACACTGCAAAAAAAAGGGCAAACTATTATTAAAAACTTGTTGATGCAAATATTCAGAATATATTAAATTTAAAAAAAAAATAAAAATTATCATGTGTATCACATAATTACTCTTTTCTCTAGCGTATTGAATGACATAAAATGCGCAACAAAAACAATATATCGAATTAAATAAAAAATACCAATCGATGTATTGAAGGATAGATTATATCGTATGATCACCTGGAGATGATGAATACGATGATGTTACATCAACTGTTTTCGATATATATTTTCGAAGTGCTTCAACAAGACCAAGTTGTACACCAGCTAATGCACTATTTATAATATATTGTGGAATCCATCCCTATAGGAAAATTAAGTTTTCTGGAAAAAAATATAAAATATCGTTTACTTTTAAATTAACATTAAGTAACCAAGTAAATTTACAAGTTGTTTCATCGATTTTTTCAATAATATATGCAGTTGGTCCATTTTCCGCACTTTAAGTTAAGGAAAATTGATATTATTTAAATATCAATAGAAACTTACCGAACACAACTAGAAAGAAAATAGAATTACTAATGAAATATGATAAGACATTTTCTTACGTGTCTTTTGGTGGCATTCGTGGATGAAGACATGCTTGAGCTGCTAATATTGTAGCACCATCAATACATCGACGTGCTGTTAAATTAACAAAATCACGTTTTGTAATAAAACCTTGTGCTTGTTCGCCGGTTAGTTGATAGCTAATCAAGCAACAAAAATTAATATCTATGCAAATGTATAATGTTCCCTTACCTTATGTACAAATCACTATTAATAACTTGTAATATCTATACAAAAAAAAAGGCGAGATGATTGAGAAATTTCTCATATTAAATGCTCCGGAGATATATAAAAATGAAGGAAAAACTCTGGAAAATTTTTAACGATGGAAAATAAACTCATTATTAACGTCAAAAGACATTTAGTTCATGAGAAAATAAAAATAGCTGAATTTAATGTTATTTTATTTCGTTTTCGACAGGATTCATTGCGAAAAACTTTAAACTTCAAAAAATGCTCTGCTTAGTGATCATAGAATAATTGGACTTGCTACTGAATTCACCTACTTGACAATCAATCACAGATTGATTCCATTTTGGTATATCATCTTGTTGTTCAAATAGCATTTCAACAATAAGAGAACGAGGCGCTGCAACAGTACCCTAATCATATTTAAGAAATAGATTTATTTCGTTTGTGTAATTTTCTTACAGTTAATCGAAAAACTTTTCCCCATTTTGGAAAGGTTTTTGAAACAACAGTATCAAGTCCATCTCGACTTTTCAATTCATTACACCAAGAATTTTCATCTTTATATATTTTCCATATTTCATTAATAGTATCATTCGCTTGATTTTGATAATCATCAATTTTATCATCATCAAGATATGATGTTGAAGTTGCTAATAATGATCGTGATACATTCGAATCGGAATGAACAGCACGTAATGGTTCATGTCTTGTATCTTCTGTATCACTACCTAGAATTAATAAATTTAATTTATTTGTTAGGTTATATATGATAGAAATACTAATATTATTCCCTTGTACCGACCAACTTCGAAACAAATTTGGAACCGTTATTGAAGACTTCATTTAATACGATTTCTTTTTTTTTCACGGAACAGAATATGCAACAATAATTTTTTTATATTTTTTACGGTACTATGTCGAAAAGTATATCTGCTAGAATGGTAATAATGCTAGTATAGATACTCGATGTTGTCTTTTTTTTTCTTGTTTTTTTTTCTTTCGAAAATATAAGGAAAAAAAATGGGCTGAGTATGGCGTGAGCCATCTCTTGACATACCATCGACAGAATATAGAGGAGAATAGAACGATTGATGTTGCTCATTGGGAGTTATTGCAGTATGATGATGATGATGATGATTTAATAATAGAGAATTCGGAGATATTGACCCGCTTCCATACGAATATATCAATTGTCGTCTTTCACCATGATTTACTATGAAATAGTAAAATAGATTCGATTATATTTTATTTGATAATTTATTTACATGCTTCTCTTAAACGACGTTCATGTGGAATGACCCGATAACTAAAAAAACAATATTATAAATTGCATATTTTATTATATTATTAAAAAAAACAGAACACACTCGAAAAACCATATTTCAACCCATGCCAAAATAAATGAAGCTATTAATATAATATAATTCGTCGCACTTTTATTTGTCTCATCGATCTATTTTGAAATAAAAATCATTAAAAAAATTACACATTGAAACTTACAGTAAATACACATGTTTTCGCAAGAATAAATCCAGTTGAACTAAGAGTTGTAAACTAAAATATAAATAATTTTAAGAAAAAAAATTTTATTTCTTATGAAATGAATTATTTCATAAGTATACTTACTTACAGCTACAAAAATCCAATGAGACCATCTTAATATAGCATATGGAATCATTAAAATAATAAATCGCATTCCAGATAAACCCTATAGAATAGAAAAACAAAATTGAATAGTCTTTTTATTATTTATTAATAACTTACAACAACATCAAATAAAGATGATTTTATTGAATAATTGATAACTTCTTTTTTAAAAGCTTCATCAATAGTTATATTACGTATCTAAAAATCAATTAAATATTAAATAATACATATATATAGATAGATAAACAAACTTGGTTATATATAATCCATAATAAGACCATAAATATAGCATCGAACGTAACGATTAATAAAAATGTACGACGTATTAAAAACATTCGAGTTTTTGGCGGAATTATCTGTTGAGATAATATAGTATTCGATAGATCATTTGTTGGAGTATACGTTGTTTGACTTTAACATAAAATAAAAAATACAAAAAAAAATTTTTTTTTACTAACATACGGTTGAGAATGACTCATCAATCTTCCATTAACTTGATTTAATGTGTTTGTAGTAGCTGTTTCATTGAATGTAGATTCATATCTAGAATCGAAAAAGGACACCATTTTAATATTGATTTCAAGTGTTAATCAAACACACACACCGATAAGCAGTCGTTGAATTTCCCATAATTTATACTTCTAATAGATTAATATGTTTTCAATGATAATTTACCCTTGGTTTTTTTGTCATTAAAAAACATACGATGTATTCCTATTTAGTCATCGATGTGGCGTCATTTTCTTTTTTTCTCTACACGTGAGGACGAATGTAAAAAAAACGACATTTCTTTTTACGTGTAAAATGATTTGATTTATGATATGTTTTGTTTATCAGTAATAAGACAGTTTAGCAAATCACGTGTTTGTTTTTTTTCTTTTACTAATAAAATGAATATTTGTCTGAGTAACACACTCTTTACATTTTGATATAAAAGAATAACAATCAAATAGATAAAAATGAGCTACTACTATGAATATAAGTGGTTACATCATGTGTCTAATCTAATACCTCTAGAGTTAATATGTTCTATTTAATAAAAAATCTATTTTAATTAAATAAAAGCATTATGAGTTCATTGAATACAAATTTTTAATCGAGTATTTCCAGATTTGAAACATATGTTAAACATCATCTGTCAACGAAAAATTCTGTTTATACAAAAATAATTATCATATGTTTTAGACTTTCTTATATAAGTAAGAAAATCCTTATTAACTAATACTACAAGATTCATAAAGTAAAAATAGTATCACAAGTTTTATTTTCATCAATAAAATTTATCCACTAAATGTATAAAAACTTACTGTTTCACATCTACACTATTGATATGAAAAAAACAAGAATCTGATCTTTAAAAATTTAGAATCATCAATAAAAGCTTAAAAGAAAATGTTATAGTGGAAAAATAAAAACCAAAAAAAGAAATAAGATGCAAATATGTTTATGTATAGGCACATAAGCCTTCAGCAAATGTTGTGTTATTGTTAGTTTGAAGAAAAAACAAAGACAAACTGTCAATTTTAAATACAAAATGTACGATTCTTGTTATGTTTTTAATCCTGTTTATAATATTTACCGATCCATGATTAGTAAAAAAAAACACATGCAGTTTGAGCTATCAACCACAAAGAAATGATAGAGATAAATATGAACAAAAAAAAAGGAAATATATTGTTTTTATTAATGAAAGAGCTTTTGTTAATTGAATGTATAAAGAATAATGAAATGATGAATAAATATTGTATTTATTCATTTTTCTTATTATCATTGTTAGCACTACTATCAACTGTAGATTCTTCAGTTGGATAAACACTTGGTTTTTCACCTTGTTTAAGAAGACGACCAACAATATCATATTTTTCTATATGAAAAAAAAAATTTTCTTCAGAAAAAATAATGAAAAAATAAAATATTACCTCGAAAATCTTCATGCCAACTTCGAGCAGTTGCTCGTTCATTATCAGTAAGATCTGTAAGATCATCATATTCATCTGTAAATAACGATTGAGTCAATTGCATTTTTGATAATGATCGAGTTGCATCACGTCCAGCAAACAATGAATATGATCCTCCTAATTTAATTAAATCAATCTTGATGAAAAATAATTCAAAAACAAAAAACAAAACGATCATATCTTACCTGGTCCATATAAATCACTTCGTCGACTAACATCAAAAATATCTCCATAAATTGCTGTCAAAATTCGTCCATTAGAATCTGTACCATTATAAGTACGTAGTTGTTCTACTGTTAAATCTTGTTTAGGCATTTTAGGTAATTCTGGTTGTATTTTTACTGAACTTGCACTATATGTTGGTTTACGTTTTAATAAAAATAATTTCACGAGTAAAACTATAATCAATCCAACAAGTATAAGATTAATTGGACTTGTATAAATATCATGAATAAGACGTAGAAATAAGGCAAGAATTTTTCCTGTGATTGAATCGTTCGTTTCTGACTCCATTACTAAATAATTTTTTATCCAAAATTATGTTAAAGAACAAATGCGTAGTTCAAAAATAAGTAGGATGAAAATATCCAGCTGCGTTTTTTTTTCGTAATCAACCAATCATATACACACACGTTTAGATTGGCTGGAATACATGCCATTCGTTATTCATTAACGAGAGAAAAAAAGAAGTAGAAAAGAAGTTAACTCTGAATAGAATAAGCGTGCATTTAATTATTAAATAATTAAAATGACTATTTTAAAATATCTATAAATAGTAAATAGAAATAAAATAACGATGACGGATTTTATTTACTGATAAAAATAGAAGTATGAAAACAGTAGTATCATTTTATTATGTGAAATATTTAGAGCATGCAGATCGGAAAATCAATTTTTTAATAAAAGTAATTACATTATCAATGTACTCTCTCGATAATATCGAATTTTATCTCTACATAAGTTTATATCCTTATCAAAAATAAAAAAAAGGATATTTCATCTCACAGTAATTAAAATTATATCAGTCAGTAAACCATCTGTTACATGTCTGTCACTTAACACTTTTGTAATAAATAATAAGAAATTACTTCAAGTGACAAATGTAAATCAAGGGTTCTATGTAAATAAAAATTACTTTTTGTATAAAATGCTTAAAAACTCATATTTTTATAGTTCTGTTAATTAGATCTACTTGTTTACCTGAATCTTAATTAATAAAAATTTTTGTAATATAATCAACTTGAAAATATATGAAAAGAACAGTATTATCACTTCGAATTAGAGAAATTGTAATAGATTTATGATACTTCTTTGCATATGATAACTGTCGTAGTTTAAAATAATAACAAAATATGATTGATTTTTGCTAATAACGTGTAAATATTTATTTTCTGAGTGAAAAAAAACGGAAAACAAATCAAAAACGATTGTAAACATCTTTAAATAATGTCGGATTTAATATATGTTTACCAACATGAATAGGTACTTGTTCTTCTTCAGCATCTGGTTCAGCATCTTGTTCATTGTATTCCTGTTCAGGATCAGGTACTTGAAGATTTGTATTTTGAATATGTTGTTTAGCAATAAGACTTAAACATTCAAATGTTCGTGGTTCATAAATAGCAAGATCAGCAAGAATAGCTGGTGATAATTGAATATTTTGTCGTATAAGACTAGCTGTTAATGTATGTTGTCGTAAGCCATGTTCACGTGCTGCAGCATCAATTCGTGTATCTTGTAATTCAGCATCAAATATTGGTTTAAATTGACGATTACGTGATGCAAGACGCCAACGATTTTTCATATAAGGATATGCTATTTTAAAACATCGTCGTCGTCTACCATCGCTATTAAATGTAAATCGAAATGTTTCTAAACGCCACCATTTATTATCTGTACGTTTGCCCGGAATAGTTTCTTTTAATAACCATTCAGGTGTCGGTAATTTACGAAGTAAATTAGTTAGAAATACCATCTTAATAATATGAAAATAAAGAAACAAGTATGAAGTTAAGATACGAAAGAAAGTATTGGTTAAGTAATGGAACCTAGAAAAATCGATAGAATGCAGAGAATCGAAAGAGGACGCACAATTATGGTTTTCTTCTGTAACAGAACAACGTACTAACTTGCTTCATATAAAATAAGTTAGATTCTATAACAAAGTATTCATCAAATTGATTAATGTCGATTAGTAGAATTTATAGTTCAGTAATCTGATTTTTTATTGCGCATGAGAAATGTTACGGATAATAACTGCAAAACAAAAAGTATAAGAAGAATGAGTTATTGTTTAAAACATCTACTTTCAATGAACAGTGAATAATTAATATTATAAATCATTACAAATAGCTCTTTTATCATGTTCATAAATAAAAAATAAAAATAAAAAATTTCATTTGGTTGCGTTTTCCTATACAAAATATGAGACTCCCATATGTTCTATGATCACATGTGTGTTATAATCCACCTTCACAAGACGTGATATCAAAAAAGAAAACAAGGAATAAGCAAAAAAACACATGCTATTTCGTTTAACTTCGACACTAAATCGTTCGTAATGTGATCTTCATAGATAAAACTATACATTCTTAAATCAACTGTAATTTCTTGTAATCGCAATTATCCCATATAGCATTTACAAGATTTCCTATTACCATTATTTGAAAAAGATTATACATATGACAGTCCACGTGATACAATTGAAAGTGCAAATGATATTTGATATGTCTATGAATATGGAAAATGTATTGGATGTGTATTGATAACCGATGGTGGACTTTATGTTATATTATTTGGAGAAAAAAAAAATCTGCACAAGGTCGTGGTGTTGGTAAATGTTTATTAGAAAATATTATTTGATAATCTGATGAACATGTTTATAGATTTATTTCTTTAAATATTGAATACAATAATAAAAAAGTCATTGGAATTTTGAAACGAGCTGCATTTCGAAAGAAATTTTATGAACCAAATTCTATCGAACAAGTACCACAATTCGGATCAGCTGTTGTTGCTATGGTTTTGTTTTTGATATAAACATATGAAAATTTCTGCGGTTCTATTAACTAAAAATATAACAAAAACATATTAATTTTCTTGAAATGCAAATGATTATAAACCGTGCTCTTCATTTTATTATAACAAATACAATTAAAAATGTTTTGGGACTTCATATTTTGTAAAATCATGTAAATGAAAAATAACAAATAATAATAAATCTAATGTAACATTTGTTTATCTATTAAAAATAAAAGAGAACACATTATAATTGAATATACTAACGATTTAATCACATTTATTAATACTACTGAAGAACATATTCTTTCAATGGTTAGAATTTGATGTCAATAACTCATATTTGAAGACGATTAAACATTTTCTTTACTAAAGGTTCATAGCCTTGCTAATGATATATTGAAACTAGCTTTTTATTTCATCGATATAATCAACGGAGGTTCTATTGTTTACTATGTTTGTTTATTTTCAAGGATTGAATACAGGAGAGAATGAAAATATAGGTTAAAATCATTAATGTCTAGTCTCTCCTTAACAAATGTTTGCCTTTAAGATATTTTGATTTTATAAACGGTTATATAATAAAAGAATAATTATTCCATATTTTAATAAATATCTAAAGTATTATTCAAAAATTGGAAGATGTTTTCATTAATTATTTAACATTACATATTCATTTGTATTTGGTGTGTTATTGGCCGTGAGTAGTTAAAGCAGTTAAGAAAATATTATTAATGAATACATTTCAAAAACCAACATATCAGTATTATTTAATGAAACACACAGTATTGTTCTAATGTTGACTATTGGATTTTATTTATTGTACTGGACTGTAAAGGAGCGGATATGAAAAATAAAAAATTTTAAAGTACTTTCTGTGTTACATCAGGAACAAATAAATATGATAAACATGTGATCAGCCATAGAACTTGCTAATCCTTCTGTTATATTAAATAAAGAAAATATTCAATTTATTTTGGTCTTAAAGTATCAATAAATTAATTGAAAAACCCACCAAATATCGTTTTTTTTTAAATAACCGGATTATTTTTCAAAATATTTGTTGAAGATCGGATGACAGTGATGACATGAAGTTTGTCCTATAAAAGCAGATGTGTCCAAAACAAAGAACAGTTCATTACAACATGTTGAAATTAGTGTGCATCTTTCTTGTTTTAGTCGTCTTGGTTGTCAACAGTCATCCTCGTAAGTTTGCGATAGATTTTGTTGAAAAATTGCTATAATATATTCTAATTGTTGTTTCTAGATGGTGGTCGTAAACCTGGACATGGAGGACAGCATGCAACAGATCACTCCGAAGGTGACTCAAAGGAGTAAGTCCATGTTGCTAATTGTTTAGTTTGACATTTGGTTATTCTCATCTGCATAGATGCGGAGAACATCGCAAACATCCAGGTCACCCAGGAAAACCAAATGGTCCATGTCATCATAAGCCAAAACCTACTCGTCCAACAAAGCCCACATTAGCGTAAGACATCAGACGTCTTTGATTTGAAATAATCTAAAAAGCATGCACCCTCTGTATTTTCACAGAACACCACCACCAACTGATGCACCAACACCACCACCAACCAACGCACCAACACCACCACCAACCAACGCACCAACACCACCACCAACCAACGCACCAACAACTATCGACCCATAGTGAGATGGTGAATTTGCAATAATAAAAATGATATTATAAAGCCAATAACACTGATGATAAATATGATATTTCTATCAACTATATCTTTGTCATTCTTGCTTTTTATCATATAATAAATAAAAAGTTGCTATCAAAATAATTCTTCTACTTACACTCACTCATAATTGAAATCATAATAAGAAACATTATTTCTATCCATTTTCACCAATAATGTAACTGCAAATTTATACTAATTTCATTGTATGAATGTTCGAAAAAGACAGAAAAATGAAATATATTAGTTTATTAGAATAATAACTGATAATTGTTGTGTAATTCTTGCTAAGTTGCTATATTTTTCATTCAATATACAAAACGATGAACATTTACAAAATCTAAATGTTAGTTGTTTATCTAAGAAATGAAATCGTCTAGAGATTGAAATACAAAGCTAGAGAGAAACGATGTTTGTATAAGTTTTTCTTATAGTAAGATATATTCTTCTGTGGAGTTTTTCAATGTCTGATTATTATTCAATAATATTTTTTTCCTTTTTCTCTTTTGTGCCAATAAGCCTACATAAAAATTTGAAGTGGATGAAAATGAGTTCATTTTTTTACACAAAACTATTAATATATTGATTCGACTACAAATCTATGATAAAATCAGATGTAATACTAATAAAATCTTTTGTTTTGATATTCCATGATAGACCTACTTTTGATTAGTATTTTCTTAATTTATAAGCTACTTAAACGCATGAAAATCTTCATGTTTATATTAAAGGTTCAATTTTATTTAAAAAAGTTTTGCTTGTTTATTTTAAAAATATATTACAATAAAAAGAAATCGCTAGATTATCTGTACTTATAGATGACGACATGACTAGTCACAACACAGAGGATTATAATTAAACATTCATAGGAAATGTATCTGGTACGTGATCTTTTTCTGCTTGTGCCCATGCTGGATGAATTTCTAATGGTCGTAATGCACGTGTATTTTCAACATGAATAACACAATCAAATTGTGTTGAAAGACTTGCATCAAAATAATGCGATTGTCGTTCAGTACGTGGACGATAGATAACACCAATCGCTCGTTCTAAACGTTTTTTATGTAATTCTGTATGTAATTCATTTGAAAGTTGAATAGATGAATTATTTGAACGAAATAAAAGATAATATTGACCATCATTCTGCATTGTTGAATCTTGTGTTAAAGCTTCATGTAATAAAAATTCTACACTTTCATTTAATGATGGACGAATACGTTTAAATTCTGGATCCATATCCCAACTATCAGCTGCTGTAACTGTACCAGTATATGTAGTAAATCCAATATTAAATGTATTTTTTATACCGAATCGTTCACGTACTAATTGTCCAATATTAACTTCTCTTGCACGTCGTGAATCAGTCTCACGTGCATCACCAACATGTGAATTATGTGCCTAAAATAAGAAACATGTATATATATTTAAATTCGAATTATTTTACCCAAATAACAGCTTTAGTTTCCGGTCCATTATATTTAAGTAAATCTTGTAAACAATCACACATATGTGTATCACGAATATTCCATGTTATTTCTCCACCTTCAAACATATGTCGATAATATTTTTCAGCTTCACGAACAATTTTAGCATTTTCCATAGCATAAAAACTTGCTTCACTTTCAGCATCATGTGTTTTATGTTCAGACATAGTTTTTGCATGAAGATCTAACATTTGTTTTAATACCTCAATAGCTTCTTTTTCACAACCAGGTCTAAGTTTTGTTGCAGCACAATAACCATATTCTTGTTCATCGGAATATCTTTCAAAACATCCATAACATTTACGTGCTTCTACTGCAAGATCTATTCATGAAATAAAATAAAAATAAAAATCATTGTATGAAAATTTAACAAACCAGGTGCATTTTTGTCCAGATATTTTAAAACTTCTTCACGTGATGATTGTAAACTATATAAATCAATACCGAAAAAGCCAGTTTTTTTCTTTGATTCATTAATATTTTCATTATGTTTTCGAAGCCATGTTATAAAATCTACGACAACAGTATTTCGCCTAAAGAATTAATTTTGAATATTATTGAAATTAAAGCGAAACATTAGACATACCACATCCATGCTGGAAATCGTGTAAATTCTTTTAATGCATCATCAGCATCTTTGATATTTGATGCCGATGAAAATCCTTTTACCCAACGATTAACTCGATAAGCTGGTGGCCAATCAGCTTCACATGCAATAATTGTAAAACCCTATTTATTTATTTGTACAGGAATTAGATTTTCAACAAAAGTATTACCGTAATATTGATATGCTGCTGATATTTACTCGGATTAAATTAACTTTTTGAAACTATATCAATTCAGTTCTCAAGAAGTATTTATCTAATCTTCTTTACATTGTTTATAATATCAATGATATCTCTGTATTCTATTGAATATTTAATACGAATGTTAATAAGATAGAAACTGTAATGATATATCAGCAAATAATTAAATTAACTCTGATAGATAGTATCATAATCTTAATTCTAATATACTAATCATGGAACACTGTTACTAAGTCAATCTCAAATAATAGTTTGAGAATGTTGAACATACTTTTTCTTTAATTAATCGTTTTGTGATTTCAGCTCGATGTGAATAGAATTCATGTGAACCTAAATAAAATTTATCATGTTTTTTATTATTATAATTTTTCATCCGAAAGAAAAAATACCATGTGAAGCTTCACCGATCATTACAACTCGAGCATCACCAACTGCTGCTATAATTTGATCATAATCAGTTGGTGTATTTGAACGTAAACGTTGTGCACATTGTTGAATTAAATGTAAAGCCTTAGTATTTGTTTTTGTTACTCCTGCCATTGTTGTTATTTTTAAAAAAATGACTGCGTAAAAAGTAGGATAGAAATTCTACCCTTAATGAACTGTCGCTATTTACTACTAAATATATCTAACGTAATTGTTAGCGCTCGTATTTGATTGGATAACTTATTGTTCTTTTTTTTACGACGACTAAGCCGTCTCGATCTTGCTTGTGTTGTTTATTTATACTTATTTATTTTCTTTGTCGCTTGATTTCTTCTCATAAAAAAGATTGATTGATTTTCCCTATTTCTGAGATTTTTTTCTTTTCGAGAAATTCGTTTTACTTGACATTAGTTCATTAAATAAATAAATGTGACAAGGTTAATATTTATTTCTTCAAATATTTCATTGGATTAATAATATAAATGAGTTATTCATACAGACAGCAATAATCATCATCATAAACATATGGCTCTATGATTATCGTCTATACTCATAAGCAATTGACCCCCTACCGATTTTGTGTACTAATAGGGAAGGTCTTTCTTTGTATACAAAATAAACATTGAAGGTCAACAAGCTTTATCCCTTATGTTAAATGATCCGAATTTAGATGGAGATAGTTCAATTTAAGTGCTATACAGTTGTTGTATGAAGCGTGTCCGAGGGCGTTACGCATAATATTTGTTCGTTTATTCTGCATGAATGTATTACGCATGTGAACAAGATGATAGTTTATATATGAACATATGGACACAATCATGTTGTAATGCAATAATTAGTATGAATGATCTATATGTGATTAATTCTATTAATCATGACGCTTGTTAAATAGTGAAAACATATAGACAAGAGAAAAATATCAATTTCATGATCTTATTTATATATAGAATTCGTTTAAGTGTACTTTATTCTTTCTTTCTCTCATTTTTTTTTAAATATTTTAGATGCGACGACGTCGACGAACTTCATTACTATTACTCTTCACCTTCGCATTCACTTAGCCACCAATATTTAATTGTTCACTTGTCTTTTGTTCCGGTGGTGTGTGTGTGTGTGTGTGTGTTTGTTATTCATTCTTTCTTTTTACAACCTGCATTTTTATGTCCCATGCGACGACGCCAACCAAAGGCCCGTCAACTGTTGATTGTGAAGTCTTGACGGGTAAGTTTATATATAATTTCAATTAACTCCATTGTACAAAACTAGGTCGATTTGATCAAGGTTACGAATAGATTTGACTAAATCATATTCACTTAATGTTTTTCAGAAGTATACTTAACTTCTCTCTCTTATGCTTCTTCTTCTCCTCCTTTTCTTCTTTGATGACGTTTTGCGTAATAGTTTGATATACGTCTTGTCAATATCCATTGCATATAATAGGATACAAGGTTAATACGCCCCTCTTCTATATATAGTTCATCGGTAGAGAAAAAAAAAGAAGAAAATGTTCTAAGATGAAATCTCGATAAGAAATCATTCATAAATGATATATTCATTAGTGATTGATCATTTAGTCAAGTAGTATATATAATCGTGTGTGCATCGAAATTTATTTTCAGTTCGTCTAGTCTATAATTTGTGTTAAGAGATATTCGTTCATTTTCAATGGTGAGTAAATTAACGTAGCAGTAGTAGCGATAAAATTATTTATTTATCTTTATCATTGAACATAAGCTAAAAGGTGAAGAATTTCATCCTGAATTCTAATTTGTACCTGTCGGATTTTAAATATTTAGACCTTGATATGAATCTATAGATATACAGTGACCTATTCATTCTGTCAAAATATAGATCTTTTGAAGTGTATTTATACCTACTTAGTAATCGATCAAATAAAATGAGCATATCCTATCCTTTTGAAAAGGAAGTCTAATTTCTAGTGGATATTTTGATAGGATCAATGATTTATTGAACACTCAAATCATCGTAAGTCAATATTTTCACTGTAAATCTAGTTCGTTGTTTCAAATGTACAAGAATATTATATTGAAAGTAATTTCACAGATGAAATAATATATTTATTCCTTTCTCTTAGTTGTATTTAAGATTCATGTTTTATGTATAAGTGATAAAAGCAAATTAAAATTTCTAATTACCATAGAACGAGATAAAATAATACATATTGAACTTAGATCATTCGTGTGTGAAGTTTAACACTTCAAAGAAAAGAATATATAGTGTAAATGAGTCGACCATTATATGTCTACTCGATAGAAATACATGAATCACTTCTTTTTTTCGTATAAATGTGAATTCACATAAGATAATATCCGAATTGTATTTTTTCTTATGCGAAGATTTTTTTCTTCTACATTATAATTGTCTTTAAAAATTTATCAAATATGTAACGATGATGACGTGAGCGAAACACTTGACTTATATTATTTCATCTTTGATTTGATGAATATTCAAATATATATATTTGATTTTTAATCATTTATTGAGAATATGTAAATAACTTTAAATATAATCATTTAGACATTCATACACAATCAAATTTGGCCGAAGTTGAAATAGTCAGTCTTGTACAAGAATTAATCCCACGTTATCGTCTACGTGCTGAAACTGATTTCGCGTGTTCAAACGAAGATTTTATTCAAACACCACGTATTGACGGTTCTGAATTTGAAGCTTTAACTAATATACAAATCCGTGCTCTTCTTGATTATTACGGTAAAATTCGGCTTTATTTATATATATATGCAAATGATAATATTTTAACTATAAACAAACATAATCACATTCTCTTTCTTTTTCCTTATCATGACGTAAGAATGATAAACATGTATATAAATCATTGAGAAGCGCTTGGTTGAGTGACATGCGAAGACTTTGACATGAACACATAAAAAACTAATTAGGTAGTTGTTATTGATTTTAGATAGGTAGCGCATTTTCTTTTTCTCTAACATAATTATATTATTTTATTTCCTTTAGCTATTTTTCTTTACATACTTTTCTATATATGTTGATGTGTAATTATAGTATCGATAATGTAATCAAATTAGTTTTGACAGTTTTATCAGTGAATTAATTAACAGCAATTTTTATTGAGATGAATATTTCATAAAGAGAGACATCAACTAGACGATCAATTTTGTCAGAGAGATTTTTCAATACAATGAACTTCATCATTATAAGTCCTAATAGATTGAACATCACACTTTACACAAGTGTAGTTTTTTCATATTCAGATACAGTAATTTAAACGCATATATAGAGTAGTATCTGACTCGAGTGAGATCAAATTTCCACATAGGACAAATAACAATTATAAACGAGATATCAATTTCCTTTCTAAATTTTACTAACAGTTGATATAATTGAATAAAAAAAATATATGACATTTCTAATTCAATCAAAAATTCCTCAATCAGTTTTGAATTATTAAATTATTGACAATAAAAAAAAATTTTGTTGTATTTTTTAGCCTCAACAAGCAATCGAATTAGCCAAATGACAAAAACTTACCATGATATAAGTGCTGTAACTCGCATGTTAGAAGATCGCGAGAATGATTTACAAATGGCAGTTACTTTAGGTCATACCTTACTTGAAAGTAATGATTCTTTACGTAATCAAGTATCCTTATTAGAACAAGATATTGTTCAAACAACTGAAATTGTTAAACAACTTAAACATGATTTAACTCTTAAAGAACGAGTCATTCGATTTTATAGCGATATGGAAGAGAATGATGCTCAAGCATCAGAAGCAAAGTAAATCAAGAAAAAATTTATATTTTTTGTTTTTCTAAAGTTCTTTCTTTGTCTAGTGATCTTGGTGTTCGACATTTTGAACAGAAAATTCGAAATCTTGAATACGAAAATGAAGAATTACGTGCTGAAGTAATATCGAAAAATTCTTTTCGAATTAATTAAATGGATCGTTTTGTTTTTTGCTCTTAGGCTTTACAATTAAAACTCGATGCTGAAAATTATGAAAATCAAGAACAATCTATAGTCGATAATTTTGTTAATGCCTTAGGTAAATTTAAGAAATCAAAAAAAAATTATATAAATATTTTTATTTTAAAGCTAATGCAAATGCTGAAATAGATAATTTACAACAAGAATTAATCAAAAAATCTAATGAAAATACTCAACAACAAGATGAAATTCTTCGTCTTTCTTATGATGTAAGATCTCATTGATTTTTTAAATATTTAAATTATAATTCATTTTAGATGCGAGAAGTTCATCGTCGATTAACCGAATTAAAAAAAGAAAATGATGAATTAAAAAATCTTTTATCCATTGGTGGAAAAAATCGTAATGATTTTGAAATCAAAGTAAATTATTAAAATTTAACAAAACTTTTTGATTCATTTTTCTGATCGATTTTAATTAGATTCATCAATTAGAAATAAACTACAGTGAATGTTTAGATAAACTTCATAAATCACAATTTGAAGTAAATAATTTACAACAAAAATTACTTCAAACATCTCCTTCCACATCTATGAATGATTTATCATCACCCAATCGCCATACAGTATTTTTATCTCCAATTGAATATGCAAATTTTATGGGAATAGAAAATTCACTTAAATCAGAACTTGAAGAAGTTCTTGAAGATCCAAATCAACTTTGTCCATCAACAATTAATACAGATGAACAATTAACAGCAGTAAAAAAACTCTATCGTCGAAGAGGAAAACGAGATCAAAGTGATACTGATGGAGAATCAATTATGAATGATTCAGCTTATAGTGACACAGAAAGTCTAAGCAGGTATTTAATCTGCATGTTTTTTATTGATAAGATTTTTGAAACAAAAGTATTTTCTACTTTGTTTTTATTTGTATCTGTATGAGAATGAATTTATACTTGCGTTCTTGTATTTATTATCAGACTCAAAGAAGAATGAGAATAGATCTTATATATGTTCAAGAAAGTAATTTAGTGTAGAATGCTATTTTAATATGGGCTAGCAATTCTTAGATATTATTTTTGATTATACAGAAAAAGACAAAGTAGATAAACTTTTTTTTTGTTAAATGCTTAACAACACGCTTATTATTCATATCACATGCATAGTGCTTCGTCATGTCCGTATTGTCATCGATGTTCACCTACACCTGCTTCTGATTCTAAGTATGCGCACTGTAGCTTTATTTGTTCTTGATGTATTATTAATAATTCGAATCAATAGATCATCATCTACCTATCAAATTGAACGTCGAATGCCATCTGGACTTTCATCAAGGCTAAGACTTGTTAAAAAATTTGAAGGTATATTTATTTGTTATTGTAGAAAAAAAAAGAATACTTATATTTGTTTGTATTAGGATCGAATATGTTAAAACGATGGCAAGAATTAGCTGAACCTAGTCTTTCATCATGTCTTGAAACGATACCCGGTGTGTATACACGTGCAGACATTTTACATGAAGTTAAAGAAGAAGATGATGAATATTCATCAACATCACAAAATGATTTCGATTTAATATCGACGATTCCAACACCAAATCCTTCATCACAGTAAGTTCTTTTTTAACTTCTCTCCAATTTATTTTTGATAGAAAACAAAAATTTTGTTTAGAAAAAAACGAATGAATCTTGTTGAATTATTAACACAACAAGGTTTAACTGCTCGAACGATTGAAACATATGCTCCAGATCCAGATGATAATGAAGATCCAACAACACCACCAACATCACCAACACATGGTGCTAAAATTCAAACAAATGCTCTTCTTCATCAAGTTATGCAACGTTTAGTTGGAATGTCATTACGTACATTTGAAACATTGACAACATCTGTTAATGATCATAATACTGATAATGAAGAAGAAGAAGATGATGATGATGATAACAACGAATTACAAGATATCGAATCTGAGCAACGATTACATAAAACAGCAACAATAACACCTCCGTCATCACCAAAATTCGAGGGTCTTGCAGCACCAACACCAAATACAGCAATGCGTGCAATAAAATCAAGTACATTTTTACGTGTTTCAACACTAAATCCATTTACAAAAGCATTTGCCACGCGTTCATCTGATGAAGTACCATCGATTGTTAGCGATTTTATTCGAAGTTATAATCCAAAAAAATAGAAAATGAGAAGAAATTCTATTTCTCATATAGATTTTATTTAGAGCCATTTTCACGTTTGTGTGTGTGTATATCTATTTTTCATAAAACTGTATATTTATTCAACGTATGATCTGACATATTATGCCTCTTCTTTTTCTGATAGTTAGAGCATACCTGTGTATTTGTACTGTGGGTTTTCTCCACCATTCTTTCATTCAAAGTCACGGTTTCTTTTTTTTTCGTTCTTTTGATTTATAAGTTTTCTTTTTTTTTTTACAAAACAATTTCGTTTGTGTACGCTTTATGTGTGCGTGCCGTTTTTTCTTTTCTTTTTTTTCTTTTGATAAAATAGAGCCACAGCAAGAGAAAAAAAGATATTATAAAAGAAAAGTATTGTCTATTTTGATTTAGATGTCGAAAAATACAAAACGACAGAGGACATTGGAGGATGTATTTGGCAGTAATTCAACAAAGAAGAGAAAAAAATCGAATGATGATACTTCGAATGTTGATAAACAGAATATTGTAAATACTCCAAGTAAGTTATTCTGTAGATAAGAATAACAAAGTTGGTGATGTATATATATGTACTCTTTTCATAGCTACGAGTTCAACTGTAAAAAAGATCTCTGATAATGACTTAGAATTATTAAGACAATTCGATCTCGACATGAAATTTGGACCTTGTACTGGTAAGTTTTTATTTGATATTCTTTTCATAAAAGATTTTATTTCTCTTATAGGTATTCCACGTATTGATCGTTATGATCGAGCTATACGTCATGAGTTAGATCCTCCTGTTCGTGTATTAGAATTAATCAATAACTATCCAAATGATCGTCAAGTTACACATTGGTAAAGTAGATTTATATAAATATATGTATATGTATATTTCTTTGTTTTAGTATTTGGCGTGACTATACATTATGAAGTATTGTTTTGACAGTTGTTTATTTTTTTGTTTTTGTAATAATTTAATGTTTTAAAATTATTTTTATGCAATAATTCCGAATAAAATAAAATATTTCAGATAATTTCATACATGCGTTCATTTTCATGGTTACGTTTTCTATTCCTCTCACGTCATAGAAATCAGGTACAATATTAATATCATACGAATGACTCTATCTTAAGAACTATGAAACAATGACTTGAATTCTTTTTTTTAGCTACGACGTTTTATTTCAGTATTTAATACACGTACTACATTTTACAATGGAATTTATCGTCATGCGCCTATTCCAATTCTAATCTCATTTCCATTATGGTTTATTGTTCGTGCGGCAACTCAAACTGAAGATGCTAAGGAATCAAATCGACCAAAAAGTTTGTATTAGTATATTTTCTTTACATATGTATATCTTTGTATCAATCAGATCTTGCAACTATTGTTGAACAATTAGATACAATGGTTGATAAAGAAGAATATCAACAAGCATATGAATATATAGAAAAAAATAAAACAAATGAATTATTTCAAAGTCATTATATTAGATGGAGAATAGCGAGGTATGTAAGACTATAGTATATGTAATCAATTACAGATTCATCAACGATTATTTTATCTTTAGAATATTTTATAAACTTTCATTAATAACCAAAGATAAACAATTAAAAAAGAAATTAGTTGAAGATGGTTATGAACAAGCTAAGCTTGCTCTTGATCATGGTAATCATATTTATTCTGTTCATAAATGGTATGGAATTTTACTCAATGAAAAATGTCAATATACTAGTACAGATGAACAAATTCGAAGTGCATATGAAGTTCTTGATCATTTCGAAGAAGCTGTTCGATTAAATCCACAAGATGCAACTTGTTATTATCTATTAGGTTCATGGTTAGTTAAATTTTTTGTCATCTTATTTAATCATTATTTTGTATATAAAGGTATTGGGAAGTTGCAAAATTATCTAGTTGGAAACGAAGTATAGCAAAAATGATTTATGGTGAATTACCTCGAGGAACCGTTCATGATGCATTAAAAAAATTTTTATTAGCAGAAGAAATATCACCTGGTTTTTATAGTAAAAATTTATTGATGCTTATTAAATGTTATACTGAACTTCATTCTCGTCCAGCAGCTATGGAATATGCTAAAATATTATTAGAACGTGAAAGAAAAACACAAGAAGATGAAGAAGTCTATCAAGAATTAATTAAACTTATTCCAAAAATTGAACGTCTTGTGCCATTTGCACCACAAGGAAAAATGTAATCAACATATTTAACATTTCATATATACATGTTACTAAGTAACATCCTCTTTTTTTTCTGACAACTAACGACATCTGAATAAATATTCTATTGATTACTCAAATTTGTAACTGTTGATCATCGTCGTGAAAGTAACGAACAACGGTTGCTAACTAACTTGATCTGATTTGTTTTTAGATGTTAACAAGTTTTTCTTTTCGTCAAACTAGTCGTTATTTAATTCTTAATTCTTCTCGAGTTCCTTTATCTACTTTACCTTATCCAAAATCAAGTGAAACACAAGCAGCACCTGATGGAACTCCAATTAATTATCCTACACAACAAAATTCATCGAAAATTAATCCTATTATATCAATTTCTTCAAATGATCTTTTAGAAGCTAAACGATTAGATAATCTGTCATCAACAAATCCAAACGATGCTAAAATATCGAATACACTTGTTTTACCTGGTATACCTATGCCTACAACTGCACCGCCATTAGCTACTGAACAACAACAGACAATTAAAGAGGAAACAGAACAACATGAACGAATACCATCATCACGTTTTTCAGCTTTTCTTCGAAGTATTCGATCTGGTTTACCATTTTTTCCATCGAAGAAAAATAATGCATCATCAATAAATATTACGACTACACGAGAACATTTTATTCCGGTATGAAATTTTCTTTTTGTAAAGAATGAGGAAGTACTGAAAGTCGATTTCTTTATTTTCTAGTTAACACGTCCTTCATTAATTCGATTATTAGCTACTGATAATCAATTACTTGATGATAATGAAGATCGTCTTTTATTTCATCAATTATGTGAAGGTTTCGATAGTGCTGTTGTTCAACGTTATCATCCAATATTAAATGAATTAAAAAATTTATTTAATCCATTGAATCCTGATCATGAAACAATTGAAAATCTTCAATTATCAATGCGTGATCGTTTAGATAATGAATATTGGTTATTACAAAAAATTAATGATTTACTTCATCGATCTAATTTTACTGAATTACCACGAAATATTCTTCTAGAAAAATTTATTATTCAAGGAGACTCAACATCATCGTCATCAAATATTAATATTAAAATTAATGGTTATGATTATGATGTATTAAAATTTTGGATACTTGGACGTGAACAAATACCTGGTGGATATGTATCACGATGGAAAAGATTATTTGGAAAATCTAATCCTGTTATATCAAATGATTATTTTAAACGTGTAATTTTAGCTGTACGTCTTAAAGGACAAGATCGTTTATATTTAAAAGCTTATCGAGATATTCCATCACAAAATCTTCCACAATTATTACCTGTTGGTAAATTACAAATAGGTGGTTATGAACAACGACTTATTTGGTATACATTTTTTGTTGGAACAAGTACAGCTGTTACACAACTAATAACAACAATGGCAAATTTTCATATACCAGGTTTAGTTATTGGTGGTAGTAGTTTAACATTATTACTTGCTTTTTGGTCATTAAGAAGTTCATATAGATCAAAAATAAATTATTTATCAAACATGAATCGAGTTTTATTTTATAAAAATATTGCATCTAATAAACAATTATTAGCAATGATTATTGATCGAGCAGAAGATGAACTGAGTAAAGAAATGTAAGTAATTTGAACAATAAGATAAAATGAAATTATTGGATTTCAATTCTTTTTATAAAAAGTATTATCAAACTATATTTTGATTTTTAGTCTACTTGTTTATATGATTATCTTATGGAGACAACGACAAAATGCTGATTTAACAACAAAAATTCTTGAACTAGAAATAGAAAATTGGATTCGTGCAAAAACAAATGCAAGTATTCATTTTAATAGTGATCAGGCTATTGAATTTCTTCGTAAATTAGGTAATTTAATGTTTTTCTTTTATTAGCATTTTTTTTAATGTTGTTTTTGTTTAGGAATTCTTTCACTTGAAGATCCAGCTAGACCAAATCATTTACAAGTAATTCCGTTTAAACAAGTGGTTGGTATTCTTCCAAACATTTCTCGAGCATTAAGTGAAAAAAACGAAGAATGGGATTTAATTGAAGGTTATGATAAAAAATATTTTGAAATGGATTGGAAAACTGTTCTTAATGAAGATAAACTTCTTAATAAAGGTGGATGGCATTAAATTATTTCATAGTCAAATGGAAAAATAAAACGGATAGATTAGTGTGCAATTTTTTCTTTTCCTGCCATCATTTTTTTTTATATCTAACAAGTATTTAACTATATATGTGTGTGCGTGTGTGTATAGAAAATTTTGCTGAAACAGCAAAATATATTATTATTAAAAAAAATCATCATTCTTTGTACTTCTAGATAATAAAAATCGATGAATCACTAAAAAATATGATTGAAAGTGAAACACCTGCAGCAGAAAAAAGTGGATCTGGAAGACCAGGTAAAAGAATATTTCTTTCTTCTATTATATGCGATCAGTGGAAGAGTCTAAGCAATCTTAATAAGTTTTTTTTATTATATTTAAAGGACTGGGCTCTCGCAATCCGTCTAGAGTAACATTTCGTGATGGGAATGGTCAACAACAAGTACGTTCATCAACTCATCAAACTGAAGGTGATCATCGCAGTCCAAGCACATTATCATCTCCTAATCCTCATAATCGACAACAGCAGCAATATAATGAGTTAAAGAAAAAAGAAAACATAAATCCATTCAAGTTTTCACCGGATGTGGATTTTTGTGCATTGAGTCAGCTTGATAAACGGGAAAAAACAGAAGTATTTAAATCAAAATGTTTTTCTTATTTAAATATCTATCATCTATTTCAATTTAAAGGAACGTGAACGTATGCAAAATCTTAAAGTACATGATAAATTATCAAAAGCTCAACGTCTTATGAAAGGAAGACGTTTTCGTATTTTAAAAGATATTGATAATGAAATTGAAGAAGAAGTAAAATATTTTGTTTTAGTTTTTCAAATAAATAAGTTTTCAATAATAGAGAATTCTGAATAAAGAAACTCGTGTTCCATCTACTCGTGATAATGCCCCATGGCTTGCTGCTATTACACGTAATCGTCGTGTAGAAAATGAAAGTTTACAAGATTTTATTGAAAAAAAACGTAGCATGTTCGTCTTACAAGTAATGTTAACATGTTTTTATTTTTAATAATATAATATATTTTTTATTTAGTATGAATTAACTGTTAAACGTACTGAAATGCGTAAACTCGAAGAAATTACTGCTGCCGAAGAGCAACGTATTGAAAAAGCAGAAAAAGATTTAGAAGATGATGCTGTATGATAAAATATATTATTGTATTTTAACGTATATATTATGTTATTCTTTATTTTCTAGCATATGTTTGATCAATTTTTAGCAGCAAATAATAAAAATGCGAATGAAGCAGCCCGTGTGTAAGAAAATATGATTATTATTAAATTAACTTCGATTAATTTATTTCTTTTTTTGTTTCTAAATAGAGCTGATGAAGAAGCTCGAAAAAAATTAGAAAAAGTTGCTGAAATCAAACGTTTACATGGACAGATAACAGGATTAAAAAGTGAACTACTTCGACGTGAAGATGAATTAACTGAATTAAAACAATACAAACAATTTCTTGATCAAATAACACCCATAGTAAGTATCATACATTTCATTCATCGTTTGTAATAGAATTTTTGAAAAATTGTCACATTTCCAATACAAGTTTTTCTTATAATTTTCTTAGCAAAACAGAAAAAAAATTTTTTTTTTAGGAATGGAAAGAAGAACGTCGTAAAAAACTTCAAGAACAACGTATGGAAAAACAAAAACTTGAAGTACCATCTAGTATATCTGATGATCAAGCAAGTAAATCAGGTAGTCGACCACAAAGTCGTGTTACAGATACAAAAAGTATAAAACGTGGTATGGGTAGTACAACACTAAAAGGTCCTGTTAATCGTCGTACATCAAATTCTACAACTACTCATGATAGTGATTCGACTGTTAACAAAGGAAGTGACATAGACATAAATGATTTAGATAATGATTTTGAATTATATTTTACTGATCCTCAACAATTATTAGAAATATTTACTAAGCTTGAAGAACAAAATTTATCATTAATACAAAATAGTCAAGATCATGAAGAACAATTAGAAGAATTAACTCGAGACATACAAGTCACTATGGAAAAGAAAAATGCTGAAACTGCATCTTTACAACAACAAGTTACTAATTTAGAGCAAGCAATTGCTTCTGAAGAACATAAACAAAAAGAATTAATGGCTAAAGTTGGGTAAAATAAATTCTTTAAATATACTTTTATTGAATTGTATTTTGTTGTTATTTATATTTAGAGCTCATTCATTAGTTAATAATGAAAGTAAACAAGAAGAATATTTAACTCAATTATCAGGAGTTATAGGTGATGTTTATAAGAAAATCTTTAATGAAAATCCAGTAACAAGTGATCCAATAAAAAATCTTGCATCAATTGAAAATCGTCTTGAAGAATTATTTCAAGATATTGATCTTCTTAATCCAGATCGTTTACAAGAAGCTGAAAAAGCTAAAGAAAAAGAACGTCGTATACGTTTACGTGAACAAAAGAAACTTGAAGAAGAACGAATTAATGAAGAAAAGAAACGTAAAGCAGCATTACGAGCTAAAGAACCACCAAAGAAACAACTTGGTCGTCCAATAGCCGAACGATCAAGACCACCAGATATGAAAAAATCCGATCAAGATACAATCAACAAAACAAACGAAGAAGAAGAAGAACTTGCTTATTATTTTACTTGAATATATACATATATCTCATAACAGTGATTTTGTGTCTTTTCTTTCCGTCCATTTTCTATCAATCTGAATGAATGAATGAATTTTTTTTTTCAATATAATAAATATTCATTTGCTTTAGTGTGTATACTTTTAATTTCAAGATTTTAGAAACAAATCAAATAAATTTATATGAAACATTTATTTAATATCATTGAATGAAATATATTTTCATGTGGAATACGTAATTGAAATGGTAATGTTGCAACGACGGGAATTAAAAGATCAATAGCATTAAAAAGCCTCCTTACAAAGAAGAAATTTTTTGTTGAATAATTAAAGTTTGAATATGTATCAATACTTTAAAATATTTTTTTCATTAAAAATATTTGTGGATTATCTTTTTAAAACATATAGAATACAAAATCTATATTAAATACTTTTTTTTGTTTTATTTGTCGCAATATACGATAAAAAAAAAGAGGCAAACATGTGCGTTTGTCTATTTGTTATACAGTCACACATCATTACTTTTTATTTTTCCTAGTATCTCGACAAAACACGTTTCGTATTACATTGAAAATATAATATACCAAGGTAAAATACGAAATTATTGTGAAGGTCCATCTTTATGCTTAGTATAATATTTTCATAACAAAATGCACGAGAAATTACGAACTAAAAATTTAACTGCGTATGTCTGTATCCACGTGTACATATAAAAAATCGCTCTCTCTCTCCGTCAATGTATACCAGCTAAAAATAATTTTTATCCCTCTACGGCCAAATAGGATACTCTCTTCGTCTCTCACCGACGACGAAAAAATAATTTTTTTTCATAGGTTGCTCCTTACCTCACGATCGGCGTATATAAATCCGAAGTAAAGTGTAATAACTTACACAAACACATCCATCTCATATTCTCGTTTATCTTAGATCAAAAATCGATTATAATGAACAACATCATCAAAATAGTCTGCTGCATCATTTTTTTAATGGTAGCATTTCAAATGACACAGGGTGCACCAAAAGAACGTTTTACTTCAAGAGATCTGCTCCGTTATTTACTCAACAAGCGTAATAAATACCCACTTATCATTAGGTCTCCTTCGAACTCACTAACTTCACATCTTCTCTTCGAACTGAGCAAAATATTTAAATAGAATCCTGATCCTGCTACTCCTTGTTTGAGCTCCTCATTTTTCATGCGCTCTATCAACATGTAATGAACTCAAACTCTTCGTTTTGACCTGAAAGAAATATTTAAATACAATCTTGATGCTGATTGTTGGAGCTGCTCACTTGTGGTGTGTTCTTACAGGATGTAATGAAATAGAAATCTTTGCTTCGACTTGAATACAATATAGAAAATCAATCTTATTGTAAATTATTCATTTGTC